CAATATAGGCTGGCACGTAAACTTAAGCTCCTAAAACAACCCCTTAAACAACTAAATTCTAATGATTTTAGTCATATCTCGGTCAGAGCAAAGGAATCCACAAAGGAGTATCAAAGAATCTATCAACTCAAACTACAACAAAACACGCCTTTTGCAACGGCTTCAAAATGTTACATTAGATCATTAAAATGTTACAAAAAGCTAATGCAACACTTTTATGAGCGTTACTTCAGATCTCGTTGCATAAAGTAATATGCAACACTTTTTCTGTGATTATGCAACACTAAATGAAAGTGTTGCATAAATATATCAAATGCAACACTTTTTGCAACACTTTAACAAGCATTTATGCAACACTTTTTTAAATAAAATACAACACTTAAGATATGATTTTAGACAACACTTTTTAATATATATGTAACATATTTGCTATTCTATTTTGCAACACTTATTTTATTTTGTAACACTTTAATGAATATTTATGTAACATTTTATTCAAATTTTGCAACACTTCTCTAGAATGATAAGTGACACCCCTGCCAATATTTATATTAACCATTTTGTAACATTTTTTTTTATAATTTTGTAGACGTACAAATATAAAATGACATGCTTGTAATATGAAATTTTATATAACATAATATTACAAGTATTAAAATATTCATAATCTATAATGAAGAAATATCCAACATCAACATATTCTAGAAACAATATCTTATACACATCTCAAAGAATGAAAGCGTGTATCATAAACTAGAATGTAACACTGCCCAGTTTGAAAAAAAAAATCAAAATATCATAGAGTACTTCTAATAACAACTAAAAATCTTCTAACTGGCCAGAAATAGTATAAACAGAAGAGATGCAACTTCATATCTTCAACTCTTTTGCCTTAGCAATGTCTTGTTTCTCATTTTCCACATCAGCGTGCTCAAATTGTATCCATATCATTTGATGTCATTGGATTGGATACGAATGTTCAACCTCTTTTGCCTTAGCAATGCCATATTCTGTGCCTCATAATCCTGTATTTTAACGTACAATTTAAAAGAATACACCATGGAAAGAGGGCACTGTGGCAGCATCATAAAATTTTAAAAGCACAATGACTTCCATCTCATTCTTGTTATTACACTTTTTTCCCCTAGATACTGTTTCTTTTAGCTCCCCATGATGATGCTCTAAAAGTGATATGGTTATTGCTAAGAAAAGAGCTTTGTTTCTTAAGGAGGTCGAGGAAGCTTATCTCAAACAAAAGGCTAAGGTTGTCCACATAATTCAATCTGATAGATGCACTAGCTATTTTCATTCTATTGTCAAAAAGAAACAAGCAAAAAATTCCATTGCTTCCATTCGGTTACAAGATGGGTCTCTTACCCACTCTTTAGACCAAGTTGCAAAGGAGTTTATTAGCTTCTTCAAAGGTTTGTTTGGTTAGTTGTGAACTGTTAATTAGTTGTGATTATTATGGTGTAGAAGTTATTTTTGTAAAATGTGTAAAAGTATGGATTATTGATGTCAATTTCACCTTATTATTATTAGAAATGATTACAAATACTCCGTATATAACTAAAATAAAAGTAGTGGACAAAAATGTGACATTGATAACTTTAGAGATTATAATTGTATTGAAATTTTACATCGCAGTGACTATAAAACTTACACATAGAGTAAGTTAATAACATTTCTATCCATAGATTTTATATTCGTAATATTTTAGAAAAAACTTATTATTGTTGTTTTTACTACTACTATTATTAATACAATTAGTGTATCTAAACCATTGTTTTATCATGGAACAATCCTACCAATTATTGCTTTTGTTTGCATATGTAAAAGTGTGTATCATATTTTCCCAATATTACATTACATGTTTACTAACTACTCTATGAAAATTAAAATATTTAGTAAAAAGCTAAAGCGCCTTTTGACACCTTTACCATGACTAAACTCGCCTTAGACTTCAAAAGCTTAAGACTTGGTCTTGCGCCTTTTAGAACACACCTTATCATGAGTGACGAGACTGTTCTGTAGACCACTACCTGTGGTGGCCTCCCAAAACCCCTTAATTTCCATCGTGGGTGGGGAAGACATAACTTCTTTTCTTTTGTATACATCAAGTCATTAACATCTCCTACCACCAACCTAGAAATAGCCTACATCAATGTTCATACCAAAATACTTTTTAAAATAAGGGCATTCTTGCCAATATCATCTGATAATGGCTATATAATGTCATGACAAGCTTGTTTCCAGATGACATTCTCTCTAGGTTACGTGATTTTTTTAAATAAAGCCATTTTGGCATCCGTTGCCATTTTTACTCCTAGTAGATGACATGGGAAATCATGGTCTCAATTATACACTTTCATCATGTTTCAATCAAGGTCCAACTGAGGAACATAATTTAAATTTTGATGGTAAAGTTGTGTAGTTGGTTCATGTTGAATCAGTATTTTAACCTTTTGAATCAGTAAAGAAAAAGGATGACCATTTTAGTTTGGATAATTCCTTTTTGGTCACGCTATTGTAAAGAGTTTTCGTAAACGGCCAATATTTTATTTGTTTACACAAGCAATTAAATTAAAAAACGTGAAAAAATTGAATGTCTGTGTAGACATGCAAAATGGCGTGTAACCTTTTCTTTTTTTGAACAAGTAAGGCTCTAACCTTCACATTGCATATTAATAAAAGATAAATGTAGAGAATTTCCACAATAGAAGTAAAAATAGGAGTTCACATTTAAAATTTCCTAAATATGAAACTTTTATTGTGATTGGACAAAAATATCCCTACAAAGTTGGGGACTTGGGGCTAGCCACTAGCATGCCGAAGCCGACGGAAAGCCACCAAACCACCGCCAGACTGTAGCCACCAATCACCACCGTCGAGCTGTTGCCACCACTGGATTGCCCTGGTCGTGCTGGGGGGAACTAGGGGGCAATTGATTATATTAAGGGTAAAAGGATAATGTTTAGTCCTATTATTTCAGTTGGTATACCATGGGAGCAGCCCATGGTGAGAATGGTGCTCCCACAGCTAATTCACGCGTGAACAGTAACACGCGTGAACAGTAACATTCTTTTTTGTTCCCAGTGACACTACTACATTTTTAAACCTAACTTAACATTAAAGATGTAACATATCTATAAAAGTATTACATATTTCTCTAATGTAACACTTTTGAGACCTAGTGTAACACTTTCTAGAAGTATAAGTGTTACATTAGGTACTATAAAATGTTACAATAGGTAAAATACAACATTAGCAAATGTAATGGTAAAAAAGTGTTACATTTTCTCTAATGTAACATTTTTCAGTGATATTGTAACACTTCTGGGTGATACATTAGGGGTTGAAATGTTGTAGTGTGACAGGAAGATGTAATTTGTGTGTAATGAAATGTAACTCACGTCAATATGCAAGGTAACTGCAAGCAAGTTGTGGTGTAACTTTTCTAATACGAAGAAGAATAAATAAAACGTTGATTTCAATGTAAACAATGAAAAAAAGTAGTCTAATTGTTCAATTACTATACATAAGTAATAAATATGTTTTGTTTTTAATACTAAGGCCATAAAAATATTTTTTAAATATCTTTTTTTTGCCAAAATATCATTTTTGTTTACAAAAAAATGAATTTTTTGTTTCAATAGTTGGAGTTTATTTTGGTATGTAACTAGTGTTATGGAAAATGTAACTCATGTCGATGAAAAAATCTAATTTAGGTGTATGCAAAATGTAACTTGTTGAAGCAAGTCTAAGTGTAACTTGGGTACAAGAAGATGTAACTCACGCATAAAATTGTGTAACTCGTCCATAAGAAGATGTAACTTCATATACTATCAATTGTAAACAATGAAAACAAGGAGCTTAATTGCTCAATTACGTTATGTAAATAGTGAATATGTTTTGTTTTTAATATTTAAGGCCATAAAATTGTTTCTTAGAATTTTTTTTTTGCCAAAACTTTTTTTGGGGATTTTTTTTGCCAAAAAGAATCAGTTTTTGTGCAAAGAAATGGTTATTTTCTTTCAATAGCAGAGGTTTATTTAGTGATGTAACTCATATTATTAAAAATGTAACACGTACTGATTGAAAACTAACTTAGATATATGCAAAATTTAACTTCTTGAGATAAGTCTAGATGTAACTCGTGCGTATGAAGATGTAACTCACTCATAAAAAGATGCAACTCACGTACAAGAAGATGTAACTTCATATATTATCAAATGTAAGTCCTGAAATTGTCAATAAACATAACTCACACTTGTAGAAATATAAATCGCACAGGAAAATGTAATCTCATACTTTATCAAATGTAAATCAAAATAACCAAATTTAATGTCTAAAAAAATACTAAAAACATACTCCATATAAGAGAGATAATAAATATATTATAGGAAAAAATGTGAGTGTGAAAAAATATATTACAAATAAGTGTATAAATATAAAAAATATTTATTCTAAAGAAAAAATAGATAGTTTTTTATTGTATTTTTAGTTGAATAAAAAGAAAAGAAAAGGAAAAGTGTATCAATAAGGACTAAGAGAGAAAGAAAAAGTAATTAATTTATTTGAAAGGATGAAATTTGATCACAAAATTATAATATGTTCTGTGCTCTTAAATTAAAAAAAGTAATTGGAAACATTATAGCTTTTGATGATAAAAAAATCAAAAGAAACAAATGAAAAAGAAAAATGAAATGTGAGTGAAGGACGTGTGAGTGGAGAGAGCATACAATCATTCAGCAAGTGGTCTTGTATGCTTCATTTGTTATACGGAGTAAAAAAACGGTATTGTATTTGGGATTGGTGTATCATGCGCATGGTACACCGATCCCACGGTATAATTTGCCTATTATTTAGGGAACATAAAATATGGACACCTAATTAGTGAAGATAGGACAATATTTTACTCCTATTTAAGATAATTACTTTAAAGGGTATCGGTCTAACAAATGACTAGCAAAAGTTTCCGAAGTAAAAATAAAACACAATGTACACAATAATAACCACTCTTATTCATTCATATGTGAAGATTCGTGTTCAACTAATGGAATAGAAAACCCTGCAACAATATTACAAGTTTTCCTATATCTATAGAGTGAAGTACACAATGGGGTAGTTCAAGGCTTCACCTACCTAAGCTCTAGTTTGGTGGAAGAATTTTGGAGAAGAGGGAATAAGAGGAGGAACAATTTTGACTTTATATATTAATTTTATAGTTAAATTCTTAAAAAACGAAGGTAGAAGATCTACAGAATTATTGTTATTTTCCGTCTAGGTAAAGATAAAATATTGTAAAATAAAAATTAATCCTCCATTTATCATTCCTCCGAAATCCCTAACCAAACCCACTCTGAAGTAGCTGGTCCCTCTTATGAAATCATTTCGTCCAAACACTTTTAACAATATTTGCAATACTTTTTAGAGTGTCCAAAAAAAGTATCACAAATTCTGTTAAAAAGTATCACCATCTCATTTGTCACTCATATTTTTGTGTCTATACAGATTATAATACATTGTCTTCAGGATTGAAGCTACCCCCAAAAGAAAATGTTACAAGGAAAGAAAAACTATACATCAGCGAAAACATGGTACGTACTAGAGTCGACTACAATCAACCTTATGGCAGCAACAAAAGCAGCAGCAGATAAGCAACCAAAGAAGACAACATTCAACCAATGCCAGCTCTTCTCCAAGGAAGACAGCCGGCTTCTTTTAGCAACCATGTACATGTGGTTTGCGAGAATGAATGTGAGGGGAAACACGCTGGTGGCCCCTGTAAGGCTCATGAAGTCCCCGAGGAAAGGCAGTAGAGATGCAAGGAATGTGGTCAGGACTAAATAGCCACCCCTGACCAAAGTTCTGAATCCCAGGTTGCGCAGGATGAATGCACTACCTTTTATCCCATATTTTGTGTCCAAATATTCGTAGGTCGGGCTTGCAAATATCTATAGTGGATGCATGTAAAGAAGTGATGAGTTAACATGTGTGAGATCCTGTTGGCAAAATATGGCTAAAGTGTCTGAAATTGCAGTCCAATTGGGTTAATGAACCAGTTTGTATAAAAAAAATCATTTACTTTAAATATATTACGTACTCCCTCCGTCTCATTATTTGGGTGTCTCATTTAAAGGTTTTCATTCCATTTTAGGAAGTACTTTACACTCTAATTACACATTTCTCAAATTTCTATTTCCTACTCATTACATGTCAAGTCTCACAATTTACCCTCCCTCAACTTATTTCTCTTTAATTACTTTCACTTTATATGTTTACTCTTTCTAAATTTTCTCTTTCATCTCTTTTTTTTTTACCCAAATTACTTTATTTAATGTTTTAAACCATTTGCCTAAAAAATCGTGGCATTTACCCACGGGAACCTTTCAACGGGACGGAGGGAGTATATTTTTGAAGGGCTAAAAGAAAATAAGGGTAAAAGTGTCATTTTTCTTCATCCCAATCATTTCAACCAAAAAAATTAAGGCATGATTTTTTCCCTTATCTAGTGCAGAGTTTGGTGGGAAATTCAGTGACCAAAGTTGCCGTTGAATTGGTCGAATGGACTTGATGATGCAAAAACAAAAATTAAGTTACATATGTATATATATAATAGAAAGAAAATCATACTCCTTCCGCCTTTTACATTCTGAAGTTGTGGATAGTAGGGGAGAGAAGATGAAAAAGTACAACAAGTAGAAAATTATGAAAGAGAAGATGTAAAGGAAAGAGAACTTGTTTAGTATAAAGAGAAGATGTATAATAAAACTTGGCATATTAGAGAAGTGGAACAAATAATAAAATACTTCCTCAAAAGGAATATAAAGCAAATAAAAAGAAGTATCTAAATATAAGAATAAAAGTATCATTTTTTCTTCCAGATAAAGCAGTAATCAGTGCACGTGTTTTGTTTGGTATCCTCAGTAGTCTTTGACTTTCTTATTTGGTTAAAATGGATATCAACACATATTTCCTTTAAGCAAAAATTCAGTCATTTTAACTCAATAACTTTTTCCAAACAGGCCCTAATTTAGGGGTTGGTATATAATTTGGCTGAAAAACATAAAGTTCTTACAAAGTCCAAACAGGTATTTATGTAAGAAGATAGATATGCAGACTAAAAAGGATGGAGTAAAAAAACTGCAAAATAACCAAGTGGAGACGGTCACACTTACATGCAAAGAAATGATAGCTTGTAAGAAAGCACACATGTTAGCAAATGCCTTTAACCAAACTGGGCCGTGGACATTATTGAGTAAATAGGCTGATGAACTGGACCCATAAGCCCAATATCCCATGAATGTAACAGCAAGCATTGGCATCACTCCTACTGTGAACTGAAAGTAAAGTGCTTTCATCATGTTCTTCACCGCAGGTTCTTTAACAGTAGCCTGTCATCCCCATAAAAAATTAGTAATAATGGTAGTAGTAATTATAAATAATTATAATATTAATAAGGGAGAATTTGACTTTGCACCCCATGTTTTGGGTGATATTTGACTTTGCACCCTATTTTCAAAATCATTAATGTATGCACCCCAATTCACTATAAAATCATTTGACTTTGCACCCCACTCCTTCACAAATTTTGGGCTCATGGGGTGCATACATTAATGATTTTAAAAATGGGGTGCAAAGTAAAATATCACCCAAAACATGGGGTGCAAACTCAAATTCTCCCTATTAATAACTATAATGATGATGATGGTGATGCTCATAAACCATGATAAACTATGACTGAAATGCTAGAAGAGAAACATGGAAGAAAGAAAAGAAGAATACATAAAAAGAAGAGAGGAGAGGAAAAAAATGATAGTTTGGTTTGGAGTGAAATAAGGATCAAAGAATAAATAAAATGGGCCCACCTACCTTTTGATAGCTCTTGTATAGTGTGAAGAAATAGAGGAGAAAACTTCACATAAAATTGACTCTTTTCCTCACACATTTCTTTTTTCCACTTTTTATTTCTCTCTAACTCTCTCTGCTTTCTTTCCCACTTATTCATTTGTCCCCTTGACCAAACAAAGCCTCAAGTACTAAGCAAGTGAAAATTCCTTACGGCGCTTACATAGTTGCAGTGGATGTTATGTTTGTACTATTTAGGGTATGTCTGGTAGTTGGAAAATGGTTGAGAAAGGAAAAAAATACCAAGGAAAATGGATTTGATGTTTGATTTACCTTGGAAAAATATGATAGAAAATCACATTTGAAAAGAAAAAACTATTAAAATTTACATTTGCTTATATATATAGATTGTAGTATTTTATTTTGATATGATAAAAATATTTGCATAAAATGAGTTGTAACAAATACCTAAAACTAATTTATTAATTTTGACTTTTTTGAGGCAAATTTGTCTCCATATTTTACTTTTCTTCTAAATTCCTATAGTTGTCAATGGAGCAAAATGGTGTGCACCATATGGCGATACAAAGCCTCCTATGCCAAAAAAAACTCATGGCAATGACTCTACATCTGGCAGCACCATCGCCACGCCATGTGTGCCATATTTTTAAATAGGTTTTAACAGGTTTGCTTAGCTACTTTTGAGATTTGGCCCTGATAATTAATTAACTAACTAGCCCGAAGAAGTAGTAAACACTACAGCTAACAAAAAGCCAGACAAACTGCTCAACTAACATAAAGGTGGATCAGAATGCTGCGCAAGAGGGGAACAGGCAACAACAATACATCAGCGGCAAGCGACAAAATGAAGACAAGACAGATCGGATTGAATATCCTTTCAAGAGAGAAAAGAATGATGATGGTGTTCCATTGTTATTAGATCCATATGATTATGATGAGCGTGATAATTGATGATGATTATATCATATTCATCAAACACAAACAAGTAAGGGGTCCATAGTTCATATTTTTAGTATCTATTTTTGGTGTCATGTCGCGACGCCATAAATGTGCCATCACCATCGCCGTGAATAAATGCCTTGGCGCCATGACTGTCGGCATATGCCCTGACAACTACGTAAATTTCCTATATAACTGGATTTCCTATGACAACTACCATATTTTTCCCTAGCATTTTCCTTTTTCAAAACAGATCCTTAGTCTCTGTTTGTTTGAGAGAATTTTTTTTAATGGGATTGGGAGTGTAAAACATTTCTCTGAAGGCGCAAAAGTTTCCATAATTCTTTGTATGTTGTGCAAAAGAACGTGCTTTGTTTATTTCCCCTGATTTTGTATATTAAGCATAATACAATCTCAATAAAAGAGACACATGAATGCTTACTTGTATCTCTGGAATCATTCCTGTATTAAAAGCAAACACTAGGTTGCCAGCTGCTCCAATAGTTGTAAATATCTTGCCTATTTTTGTTCCCGGGATGTTATAGTCTCTAGGAGGAGCATTTACACCTATAAGATTAAAGAAAAGATTGCACAAATTTTAGAAAATGCTGAAGGAATTGCTAAAATATTAGTTCCAAGATAAAAAAGACAAACTAAAGATATGGACTTCCATGAACAATGTTTGGTATAAATATTTTTTTTAATTTAATTTTATTCCTACAGTATTAAAGATAAAAAACAAACAACATGTGTATTCACTTATCCATACAATATGACAATTCAGTACACAGAAAGGTAGAGAGCATTCTAAAAAACATACATGCTTCCAATTAATGGTTTTGAAAGTTTTCAAGGGAAAACAGAGTCCATACCATCTTTGATAGACAAGACAAACGTGGCAAGAAGGTAGACCAAACTAAGAAAAGCTGAAACCCCAAGCCAGATCCTAAGTGCTGATAAATGAGGTATAGCAACAGCGAAGAGGAGACATGCCACTCCAGCTATTATGATGAAGTAAGGTAGCTTCATCACATGGTCGTCTCTAAAGAGAACATAAAAGGCCTGGAAATCATAATTATACAAAAGTGTAGGGAATCAAAACAAAACTCAGGGAAGGCCACCTACTAATCATCTACTTAGATAAATCAAAAGGCTTGGACGTCCATATTTTGAAGGCCCGTTTAATATACAGTTCCTGGATTTATTCTGATAAAGCCTATTTAACAGATCATAAGGCTTTTCATTTTCTTATTTTGCTGACAAACACTTGAGCCTTTGCGAAATTTACTACATTCACTTTTGCCAAATGCAAACCAAACGGATGCTTTGAATTGTACATCAAAGAAGTTGCCATGGAAGTAGACAATGAAAAACCTATTCATCTTGGTTGGATTGCTTTGGTGGTTGGGGTCAGTATTTTTTATTTGAATGACTCAAAATTTAGATAAAACCACTTCTAAGATTATGGGAATTTACCCAATTCCCGGAAATCGCAAAACTCATCACCCCTGGTGTCAAGTTCAAGAATGCCCATGAATATAATTCCAAATGTGGGTGTATCATGTGATAGTTGAGAGTGAGATCCAAACAAGGCTTTAGAGGATGTACTTCATTTCCTTTTTCTTTATCATATTCTTATGCTTTTCACTCAAGTTATTCTTCCTCTGTGTTCCATCCATTTCAGGTATGACTTATTTATTTGTGGGGGGGAGTGATCTAGCCTCAGTCATTCTCTTGAAGAATGATTTTGACTTTCCCTCGACATCTCCCTTAGCCTTACCCTCTCTAATATTATTTGCATGTTTTAATAATAATAAATTGATAATGATTCTTCTTTTGGGTGGGAGAATATATCTTACCTTTAAGGCCTGGCCACCAAGAATAACATATCCAATGTTAATCAAGAATAGATTTGCATACTGCAATGCCCAAATGAGTGAATAAGCAGTTGGACCTGCAACAATCAACATCTCATTTTCACCAACCTAAAAAGTCAAAGGCTAGCCACTTGTTTTGATTATTCTGCTTGTTGTGCTAAAAAGCATAATAATCTGATAATCATGCCAAATTGGGTTATTATTATTCATATTAACACATACCATATATAAAGCCTGCAAGGTCTCTATATCTGATATGCCTCTTCCCTCCAAGTTCATGAAGCTTAGCTATAAGCGTACTAGCATATAACGATATAGCGGTGGATAGGATCAACCCAACCACACCGCCTACCCAACCCAGTGGGACCATAATAGTTCCAGAATACCCTAGAGCATATGCACTGTTGATTCCCGTACTTAGAACAACTCCAACTTGAAACCATGAATCTGATTTTTTGGCAAAAACCCACAAAAGAAAAAAATAAGTAAACAGAATTTGAAACAAGTAATAAAATTTTGTACCAACACATGAAAAAAAGTTAAAATGCTCGATATTTATGCCGTTCATAGGCAAAATCAATATGCTAATATCATCTGGTAGGCTTTTTCGTGGAGAAGAAAAACTAAAATAACTGTGATCAGATTTTAAATAATAAACCAGCCTAACAAGTCTAAAAAATATCTAATAACAGCTTAGTTGCATTATCAGTTTAAACTTAAAACTCAGACAATTCTCGATGAGTATAATTTAACAATTCATATTCTGATAACTAGATCTATGCGAATAAATTAGTGAAAGAATTCACAAATTAATAAAATTTGCAAACTAGAAACTTCCCAAGAGGCCAAGACTTGTATCCTATAAATCTATAATTACTGTTTATACGATTCTCATGTAGAGTTGTTCCCTGTCCAGATCTCAAACTGGTAAAAGAATTTAGAAAACACAAGTTTCCGAAACAAACAGATCATCAAACCTATAGGGTAAACAGGGCAAACTTGAACAGATGAAATTATCAGATACTGTGAAAAGTGTGTCATATCAATTATCACCATTCATCATAAGCTTCAAGGCATGCTATAAAAATTGAACCTTAACAAACAGATCCATGCATCAATTGATGACAGATCAGAACGAGACTTAGACTCGCGTCAGAAAAGTATACGCTTGAAAGGACAAGAATTTCATAACCAAAAGACCAATCGAATGCAAAAGTAGAAATGGATATAACCCACCATTGCTGACTTCATGAGCAGTCTCTGGAATTTCGATAGCCCCCTCGCCGTCGCCATGGGAGCTCCCAGAACCACGCGTACCACCATCATCTCCGATACCCATCACCGCCCTATCTTCTTCTTCCGCCGCCTCTGCAGCTATTATATAAACCCAGCAAATCTAAACCAGCCAGACCCGAAAAACACACCGACAGCTCGAATTCGCACCTTATACTGCGCCCGTTTGTCTGAAAGAGAGCTGCAATGCGCAGATTAATGCGCTGCTAGGCTGATATATACAATGATATCCTGCAACTACGGAGTCAGAATATATATATAAATACAAAATGGAAGATTTTAGGCCGGTCGTTTTGTTCTCGTATAGTCAAGGCTATCATTTCCACATGGATAGGTATTCGTTCTTTCAAACTGTTACGTTGTTTGTTTCTATTGTTCGTTTGGCGTGACCGAGTCTCACGGGTATGCAGTTTTGCACGTGTTCATATACCATCTTCACTCTTCATTCTTCGAGAGTCCACAATTGGCTGGTCTGGTTTTGGTTCTATATTTTCATTAGAAAGTGGTTTGAGACTATACCCAAATTAAAATGGAAATTTTGTGAAATATGATAAATTTTTTTTGAATTTCAACTTTAGGGAATATTGTCATGTTTAAAATACGATAATGTCAAAATATAATACTAATTACTCTTATTTAGTGATTGTCATACCTAAATATATCAGATTAAATTAACACTATTTGAGAGTATATGTAATATCAGATCTTACCAAACTAAATCCGGTTAGACTTAAAGATGGTCACGCAAGACAAAATAAACTAGAAACTTTCACTCTGAGAGCCTGTTTGATGACCTTGTTTTTCGTGTTATCAGCTTATCAACCAACTTTTTCATCAAACATGTCACTTTTGATTTCATGTGCAGGATTGCATAATAATAAGAAAAAGTAAAGTTGAAGTTATTTTTCTGATTATATTTACTGAAGTTACCGTAGATGATCATTTTAGGCATTCTTACATACTATCATCCGTTCCATAAAAGTTGCAACAGTTTGACTTTCACGTTTGCCAACGCGCAACTTTGACTGTAATTATATTTATTTACGTATTAGTAAACATTAAAAAAAGTTAATATATTGGAAATTTACATTAATACAAATTTATTAATATTTTATACAAAATATTTTTATTATATATATTATTAGAAAATCGTAGTCAAAGTAAGGTGTGTGAATAGTGCAGAAATTACAATGTTGCAACTTTTATAGAACGGAGGAAGTATAATTTTTTCTTTACTTTATTAACAAAAATATTTCTAATATAATTTTTTCATAAATTAGCAAAATCAGCCAAATATTTTGTTGTTTGAATGCATCGACACTCCCAATGAGGATGTCGCATATTCAAATCTCATCTCAGTTCAATTATGTTGACTTTAACATAAAACGGTACTATTATCAGTTAGGAAGCTTTCCAAAAAATAACAGAATCCGTCGATTCAATCAATTTCGTCAGAATTTCATACAAAAGGCTCTAAGTCAAAACATTACGGAATATTTTTTATTTTTGTGTTTCCAGTTTAAATGGTCATCGTACTAAATTAGTGTATGTAGTTATGTACACCGTACTACTTTTTGCATCATTCCACCAAAAAGTGAAAAGTTGGCACCCGTGGCCCATATCATTGAACTAATAGAATGGTTGACGCAAATCTAACAAAAACCAGATTTGAATATCACAGACCTAAAAACTTTATAATTTTAAAAACTGGTTCGAATATAAATACAATAAATAAAACTAAATTAGATATTTTCGTAAAATAAGAATCACCTTTGAATCGAGTTTGAGTCCAAACTTGATTCAATGAAATACTTATCATTTTGGAGAAATTTGCTTTATTCTACAAAATTAGTTGAAGACTACTCTTATGGTGTGAAACCACACGGCGTCCAGACTACAATGAAAAAGTCAGAAAAAAAAGCTCTGCTTTTCCTTGTTTTGGATGCGTTAGGCATTAATAAATTGACATAATTAATACGGAGTACGGAGTATCACTCGATATATATTTTCTTCCAGAGTACTTTTATTAGGTATTCGTCTCTATCATCTAACTTTTCTAATCTTATCTTATTTTTTCTTATCTTATCTTATATAAAATAACAGCGCGGTCGCAATTTTTGGAGCCCAAATTGCCGCACAAATTAAGGGTATAATGGGAAGTTGATGTACCAAGTTAAGTGAAAGTCCGCCCATAAGTTTGTAGGTTACTAATTTGGTAAGCAATTTGTATGGTAATAATATTTTAATAATTAATATTAAAGTATAAAACTATAAAAGTGTGAAATCACGCCCATGACCCTGCAGGTTATATACTACTCCGTACGTAGTCACAATTTGTATAGGAGGTTATTAAATTGATAAGCAGTTTAATAATGAAAGTATGGTAAGACTAGGACACATGTCGAAATATGGTAACAAAAATCATGTGTATGGTAAGATTAAATTAGGTATTTTCTCCATCTCCTTCTTATTTAACAAAAGTCAATGATGTCAAATTATGATCGATTATATATTTATACATGGTACATTACACAAAAACACGAGATTGACAGAGATTTTCCAAAATTGTCAGAGATTTTGATAGGGATATGCCAAATCCGTGCCAAAAATAGTTTGGCATGACCTATTTGGCACGATATTATCGATAAACCCGAGCCAAATCCGTGTCAATCCTGTAATTGTTTTGTAGTGGTAGTATTCGTAATATAAAAATAAAAAAATATAATTTTAGTGATATACAAAATATAAAAAATGTGCAGTTTAAGATCTATTTTTACTATACACAAGAAGTGACAACTTAGAATAAAATTGCATAAACTCCATCACTTGGTGAATTTTTTAATAGAGCATGTATGGTAACTTGCGATAGTGAAAATTTATTTTTAATAGCGTAAATTTGTGAAATGTTGTTCCTATTTAGAGCATGTATGGTAACACCAAAATTAGCTGAATCGGCTAATTTTGCTGAAATTGGTGAATTTTTGACTGAAGCGACTACTGTATTTTTGACTGAAGTGACTATTAAAAAATTATTGAAAATATATTTATTAATAAAATCATGAAGACATTATATGAAAAATAGTTAAAATGATCCTTTCTAGTACTCTAATTGAGTAATAAAAGTAACTACAACGTTACTTATTTTAATTATTAAATCAAAACATATGTGGTTAATGAAAGTTGAGGTTCTAAGGTTCATAAGTCGAAAACAAAAGTCACTAAATGGACTTTTAGATTCTTCTATAAATTCCCTTCTGATGTATTAAAGAAAACATGGTTTTATATCTTAAATAAATTTGCATTTTGCCCAATAATTAATTAGTTAATTAAATTTCATAAATGAAATAAAAACACATAAGAGTGAATATTCTTTTAAACTTATTTTGAGTTCAGACTTGGTCAATGAGTTATTTCCCAAATTAAAGTAATGGTAAATAAAAAAATAAAATTAGGGTCAAATTAAAAGTATTTCAAAAATACTCAAGGGATTAATCTAGTTAAGAGAATAATCACTTGAGTTGGCGGCTTAGAAAAAAAACGACGTAATAATGCAGGCCAAAGAGAAGAAATTCAGTGAAGTGTCCCACCAAAATGAAATCTCATGTTTGTTTTAGAGTGGTATAACCTTTTTATTTTGTACTCTCATTGTTACAAAATACATATCAAAATTCATAAACTACAGTCTTTTATTTAGTCGACTGTTTGATTTAGTTTTGTTTGACATACAAGTTATTGAAACTAATTAATGCTTAAAGCTACAGTCTTTTCTCAAATGCTACTCACTGTATTCATTATCAAAGTAGGGATTTTTTTCACCCATTCAAAGCGATAATGATGTTGCAAATGATATGACATTCATTTTGAAACTTTGTCGATATGACAATCATAATTTTTAGCTTATCAACCTTTTCAGCCTTACTAACAATAAACGGTAATGTTCAATACTTTTGTCTATATTATATTGATCATATAAGTCTGATTCAACCTTACTTACCTCCGCTCCCGTCCATGTCATGACTTGACATGTCATTGATTTTTTGAATCAAAAAGTAGACTTCTCTATGATGAATTTTTCTAATAATTTATCATTTGATAAATTCTTATGTTACCATAAATGTCTCACATCTTTGGAGACATTGTCACATTATCACTTCAATAAAAAATGAGGCATGGTGTTGTTCTTAACATTGTAAAGTCGGTGAATTTAAAGTTTCTTAGCTTTGGTGCTCAAAATAAGAAATGAAAATATCGAGAGTGTCGTATATGGAGATTCATTGATATACCTGACAATATATCCAATGATATATTTATTACCACCTCAAATGTCCATATTATTTCAATTGTTGCTCGCACACATCCATCATTTCTGGATATATATATATATATATATATATATATATATATATATATATATATATATATATATATATATATATATATATATATATATATATATATATATAGGGAGGTTCAAATACAAAGTACTACTTATATGGAAAATGAGAAGTAATCTTAGCCGTTAAAATGAGAAAACGAGTGGATTAGATCAATTTTTAAAGAAATAATTCGGTGCCAAAAGTGTAATTATTAAAAACTTTTTTGAAACATAATGTGACAAATGTGCATCACTACGGAGGAAAAGTGTATTAGACTAACAATAAAGTGCATTACTTTATGGGAAAAACATAACATGTATAAAGATCGTTCCTGATATTTTTTTAGAAGGTGAATGTACACCATTACATATTGCATATGCACTTTTGCTATTAGGTATTACACATTTTGGCTGATCGTGAGTTTTGATCTATACCATCCATTTTTAAGTAATCAAGGGCTTGGATTACTTCTCACTTTTCATGTGAAGACCACTTTGCATTAGAACTCACCCCATATATATATATATATATATATATATATATATATATATATATATATATATATATATGATGATGAATCTATCATATTTTCAGCATATGTCTATTTTGACACGAAAAAATGATGTTGTTGAGCTTATCAATAAGTATATGATTTCATTGATGTATGGAGAAATGAACATATATTTGAGTAATGATACTCCATGTTCGATCATATTGATTCTGAATCCGATGAAGTACATATTTAAAAGTTCTTAAATACCATCATGGCATTAAGTATACCGAACCATAAATTTGGAATATAGGTTGAGTTTCTTATTATGCTAATGAGAATCAGTGAATAATTTTCTAACTTATACCTAACAAAAATACTGGTCAAAAGGTTTTAATTTCAAGGTTATCATTTGTCTCATCGGATATCCTAATTCCTTTCAAATTTGAATGCATTTAATTTCTAATCAAGATTTCATTTCCATAATAATAAAGATAAGCCGATTAGAATCTCTACATTAAGCAGCATATATATGCCAATATTTGGTTTTACACATAGCGAGTTGTACGTTGCCACGCCAAGGG